TATAAAAAGGTGTTTAATATTTTAACTGACTGCTTCGTGTCATATACAACATCTTATTTTAATTTGTACAGTCTGAAAGGAAGATTGTTTTTTCCTCCATTTTGTTTTATTTTGCTAAAAATAATACGCTACCTGAATTTGAGGTTAATTGTGTGTGTGTGTGTGTGTGTGTGTGTGTGAGAGAGAGAGAGAGAGAGAGAGAGAGAGAGAGAGAGAGAGAGTGTGTGTGGTAGGTAAGGAGAAAAAGTGTGTGTGTGTGTCTGGGTGTGTGTGTATTTTGCCGAGGGGGTTAAAATAAAATTTCGAGTAAAAAGAAAGAAATGAAACGTATCGAAAATAAAAACTACTCAAAAATACTGAACGCATCAACAACTCTGAACTGCGTATCACCAAACTTGAATTGCCAGCAGCCGTCTCGTTTTAATGGCTGGAGTTATGTACCAACCAGTTCTCTGAATAGCTGAAGACATTTTTTTGATTTCTGTCTTCAATGTAAAAGAAAGTAGTAGACATTTTTCTTTGACTTTCACTCTTTACTAGTTACTATATAGCATGGACGGTACCGTTGTCTTGACGATTGCAATATAAATAAGTGTAGACAGTTTTGACATACACTATAGTAGAAAGAAATTCAGTATGTTGTCCGAAAGCATCCCACAATAGGTCCTTAGTTCTTCAGAATTTTCTGCTACATTTTATTTATCGTCTTAATTTTTTCATATTTTTTAAAAAGATATTTTAAAACTCTTTTCTCGTTTATTTTTTTTTCTCGGTTTTAGATATTTCTAAAACCCAAAATAAAAATTAAAAATTGAATAAGGGGTAATCATCTTCTATCATTTTGTCTATTATCTATTTTCTTCTCTGTCAGCAATACAAATCTAATCCCGGATGCCGATCATAAATTACCGAAAGACAACCTGCATAAACAATCGGATAGAGAGTAAAATATAATATAAAGCCTAAAGAAATGACAGAAGGGCGACTGGCAGAAGGGAAACAAAGGAAAATTGCAGTATTTCACTGACAAAGACGCTGTTATATGAAGAAAACTCCCTAGAGGATTTAAAAAAATCATTACCCCTTAAGCAAGGCGATAATACCACTAAGACGCCAGGGGTTACTGAGGGTGAAAGAGAAGTGAAGATGTTAGTGTGGAGAAGTGAGGATAAGAACAATAAAAGAACAGGGTTCAGGAAGACAGAAAATGGAGATTAATATGGTTCGAAAATCAATAAAGATTGCATTTATTATCATTTAAAGATGGAGTACATCCTATACTTAAACATGAATGGGGCACCTCGAGGTGGTGTAATGGTTAGCAAGCTTGTCTCTCTAGAACAATTATACTGAGTAGTGAGTTCGATTCTCACTGGGTGCCCTCTAATTTCGGCCTTGTGCCACATCTAAGCTATGCTTGGAAAATCACTATACTTAAACGTGAATTGATTGTTTTCAAAACATTTACAAATTAACTTACATAACGATTACTATACAAAATTTATCTGAGATATTTTTTCTAACGTTTATTTTTAATAATTTCATACCAAGTAAGGCGATAATACCACTAAGACGCAAGGGGTTACTTGGAGTAGAAGGGAAGGAGAAGAATTTAACGCTGAGAAAGGACAATAAAAGAACAGGATTCAGGAAGATAAAAGATGGCGATTGGCGTCGCATTTATATTTTTGAACATTGTAGGTGTAATGGAAGCAAGAAACGGGAAGATATTTTTCATAGTCGAGAGGTGTGATTAAAGAAACTATTAGAATAGAACCTACGGTTGCATCTATCTATTTCAAAAGTAAAACGGTGAGAGCTATTTGTCAATGTAGTAGTAAACTTTGATTCATGCAGTAAAGGCATTCAGAAGCGAAGTTCATCAGAACAATTGGAACGAAAATATTTATAGAAACTACATCATGGCGGTGGAGAAGTTACAGAAGTCGAGATGCGAGGTCAGGATCGATTACATTACAAACCCTTCTTTAATTTTGCCAATAATCTTGAGATATATAGTAGGAACCCCAGAGCAGATATGGCTGTACTATCCAATGAACAGACGAATGGTAGAATTATAAATGTGCAAGATGGCTTCTTACCAGGAAAATTGTCTGAAATGACAGAACCTACTTTCTTAGCAGTAGACTTAGCAATAAATTCAATATAATCACCCCACCTCATGTCAGTGGAAAATGGGAGCCCAAGAATGCGCAAAGAGTTGTTTTTCTGGAGGTTAGCAGCAGCCATGCTTATGGCATGCAGAAAAGGTTATCTATGGTGATTAGATGAAAGCAGTTTTGCTTTGTCGGTGTTAAAATTTGCAAAAACTTTCCTTGACCCAGTTAACCACTAAAGTTTGATTGGTAGCTGAGATCGAACCTGATTAGAAAAATAAAATCTCATTGATTAGGAATTTCGCAACCGGTACCATGATTTTCAAAGTAAATTTACAGCTTCGAGCTGCCCCTCCCCCGCCATTTGAATGATTGATACAATACAATCTACTCTTTCCTCGTTTTCATCTTATGCTCTACTATTAAACGTAATAAATATTTTGCTCGGTTTAAGGCCGGGTTTTCAAATACTGATTTTGTAGGTAGACAGACAAGTGTTTCACACATATAAATTATTAACTCTTTCTTCACACTAATTGTTCTTGTGTCAGGCTAAGCTAAGATTCGTTAATATTTAAAAGCTTTCATAAATAAATAATTATAACATTTGATTTTGCCATGAAAATCAAATGTATAGACATTAAAAAAAAACCAAAAAAAACCGGAGAGCCCATCCACATATGAAACTAAATCAAGGAACACAGAAGGAACATTGAAACTAAATTAAAAAAATATTGACGAGAAATGGAGAAATATTGAAGAAACGTTGAAACTAAAAGAAGAAATATAGAAATAAACATGGAAGAAACATTGAAACCAAAGGAAGGAAAAATACTGAAACTAAATGAAAAAATTAAAACTAAACGAAGGAAAAACAATGGTAAAAGAAGAAGCATTAAAGAAACATTGAAACTAAAAGAAGAAACATGGGAGAAAGATTGAATCTAAGAGAAAAACCATACAAAGATCAAAACCAAATAAACACGGAAGAAACAGTAAAAATAAATGAACGGGCAATGAAAATATATTGAAAGTAAATATTTAAAAAAATCATTGAAACTAAATGAAGGAAAAATGATGCAACTAACAGGAAAAAAACCATTAAAGAAATATTGAAAGTAAACGAAAAAACATTAAAATTAAAAAGAGGAACACTGAAGAAAAATTGAAACTAAAGGAGAAAACACTGAAAATAAATGAAGTAGCTGTGAAAAACATTGAAAACAGAACATGAAAGAAAAAATATTGAAGAAACATTGAAGATAAATGAGAAAAACACTGAAACTAAATGAGAAAAACGTTGAAATTAAATGAAGGAAGTATGAAGAAATATTGAAACTAAATGAACATTGTAACTAAAAGAGGAAATTTGGAGGAACATTGAAACTAGATGAAGAAACAATGAAACTCATTGAAACTAAATGAAGAAACATGGAAAAACATTGAAAATAAAAGCAGAAACAATGAAAATCATTGAAACTAAATGAAGAAACACGGAAAAACATTGAAACTAAAAGCAGAAACAATGAAAATCATTGAAACTAAATGAATTAACATGGAAAAACATTGAAACTAAAAGCAGAAACAATGAAAATCATTGAAACTAAATGAAGAAACATGGAAAAACATTGAAACTAAAAGAAGAAACAATGAAAATCATTGAAACTAAATGAAGAAACAATGAAGAAACATTGAAGCTAAAAGATGAAACATGGAAGAAACACTGAAACTAAATGAAGAAACACTAAAACTCATTGAAACTAAATGATGAATCATGGAAAAAAACATTGAAACTAAAAGCAGAAACAATGAAGAAACATTGAAGCTAAAAGAAGAAACAATGAAGAAACATTGAAACTAAATGAAGAAACATGGAAGAAACATTGAAACTAAACGAAGAAACATGGAAGAAACATTGAAGCTAAAAGAAGAAAAATGGAGGAAACAATGAAACTAAAAAAAACATGGAAGAAACATTGAAACGAAAATAAGAAAAATGGAAGAAAAATTGAAACTAAATGAAGAAACATTCAAGAAACATTGAAGCTAAAAGAAACATTGACGAAATATTGGAACTAAATGAAGGAACATTGACGAAAAAATTGAAGAAACATTGAAACTAAGCCGAAAAAATATTGAAGAAACTGAAACTGAAACTAAATGAAAAATCATTGAAATTATATTTCCGCCTCGTCGATTGCCGAGACGAATTCGATATTTTGGGTCAAAACCCCAGAAATTTAGAAGACATTAGATTAAAGCTATTAATAAAATAATAATACTTCTAAAATCCCTGTTCATTATTTTATTCTAAACAATGTAAACACTGAGAAAGGAAATTATTTTCTTTCAGGTCAAAAATTTGATTGTTCAAAGGTGACAGTTTTTTTTTTTTTACTTTTTAAGTTTGTTTTTGTAGATGATCTTTTTTTTTTAACGAGAATTTAATCACGAAGAACCGAGATGTCGTCTTTTTTTATTTCAAATTTATTTGTTTATTTTTAACAGTCTTCTCTTCATCTTCACATCCTTCAAAACAACAGGCACGTACAATATAAACGAAATTTCAGAAATCTTCCTTTTTAGAGAGCCTCTATCAATTGATCATTTGACAAACATGCTCCTCCCTACGAGAAAAATAAAATAAATTAACAGTGGTTTATTCTTTTGGTAGATTCACCTACTGATAGCTGTCATAGTTATTTTTTAATCTTATTTTAAATGCCGTAATGTTTTACCGAAAAGAACGGGCTATAAAAAATAAATTAAAAAAAATAATAATAGTCTAACCTTTTGATCGCAATTTGTATAAGTCAAAGAAAAATTGTCGATGACAAAAGAACTATTTACAGAAAGAAATCTTTTTGAAGTTCAATTCTCTCTATGAATAAAATATATTTTACAAATGTTTTTTTTGTTTGCTACGTATTTATTTTCCACGATACTTCAGTTAACACACTCTCTCTATCATTGCATGTCTTTACTACTCTTTCGGAATATCTAACAACCTTCTCTTTTAAACTTATACGCTTTCAGTTTCTAACCAGACTTACTGTTTGGGGTCTCTCTCTCTCTCTCTCTCTCTCTCTCTTTCTTGAAGAAATAATAATAATTTTTCTCCTCTCTATAGCTTTTACTCTTCAGCATTCTTCTTCAGTCTCTTTATCATTGCCTATCGCCTTTATTGTCCTTGGTATGACGATAAACTACATCCGGCAACAAGGAATCAGATCGAGAGGTCTTGAGGAGCGTAGAACCACAAGTTAATTGTTGTTGTTCCCAAGTCCACTCTGACCTAGGGGTGGTAGCACCCGTTAGGGTCCGATCTTTGGACAAATAGTAAACCCCCAACCGGGGTCAAAAACACTATGAATGTATAAAAATATTTTTTATAGTAAAAGTACCAGCAATTTGTAAAAGTCACAGAAGAATTGTCTCTTACTGTTTGTGGTCTCTTTCTTTCTAAAGAGAGTGAAGAAGAAGAAGAAGAAGAAGAAGAAGAAGAAGAAGAACGCCTTAGAGAAGAGAAGACTTTATTCTCCTCTCTCTAGCTTTTACTCTTTCTTCTTCCCTCTCTTTACTTTGGCATTGCATATCGTCTTTATTTTTAAAAATATTTTTTCATGGTGTTCGCTTCTATCTTTTTTTTTTTCATTCACTCAATCATTACTTGAACTCTCTCTCCCTCCCCCCCTCTCTCCTCCTCTCCCTCTCTCCTCCCCTCTCCTCCTCCTCTCTCTCCTCCCCTCTCTCCTCTCCCTCTCCCTCCCCTCCCTCCTCCTCTCCCTCTCCTCCCCCTCTCCTCCTCCCTCTCTCTCCTCCTCCTCTCTCCCTCCCCCTCTCCCTATCTCCTCCCCCTCTCCCTATCTCCTCCCCCCTCTCCTCCTCTCCCTCTCTCCCTCCCCCTCTCTCTCTGTCGATTACGCATTCATTTTTTCCTTCTTATTCTTTCTTCTTTCTGTTCTTTTTTTATCTTTTTTTTTCTTGCATTTTTTTTTCTTATCGATTCTTATTAGGAAAGAAAATGAGAAATTAAATAAAAAAACACCTATATGTCTACATAGGTTTTATCGGTCAGTTATGTGCCATGCGCGATACACGCTTATGGGGTTAATGGTTCGATACATGACTGACGAGGCATATTTTTTTTCCCGCAGTAGTTTGCCATTTCTTTCTGCGGTAGAGTAGTTGCCATCCAAGGCTATAGAACCTTTTCTTTATTGTTCACACAAATGTATCGGTTCTTCCATTCATCAACAACAGTTCACCTCTGTAAGTAGCGACTCTGTTATTTTTCCGTAATAAAACACATCGAAAAATTAAATGCAGACGTACAAATTCAGGTAAAGCTGCGTGACACCCGGGCGCATGCGCATTTCATTGGAAACAATACTTACTAATAACTAAAGCAGAGACAAGAGTACATTTTCAATTAAAATTAGTGAAACTCTCCAAAAACATTTGCTCATATTTAAACTATACATTTAAAAAAAAAATCCCCTCCTGTTGTGAACGAATAAATCCTAGAACTATTGTAATATAATTGTTTTTTAAGTGTACTGAACTGTTACGAAATATCTCGCCTGTATGGCAGCGAATGCTGGGCAATATTCTCAAAGATGAAGAAACTTGAAGCAACATATACTGGGGATGCCATGTGCAAAAAACAAAAAGGAAACTTATACTTAACATCAAGAAGAGGCAGTTGAAATTTCTGTGGCACGTAATGAGGAAGGAGGGCTTTGTAAATCTGATACTCACGGGACAAAAAGAAGGAAAGAGGAACAGAGGAAAGGAAAGCAGCGTATGACATATTTGATGGCAGAACAGAGTTTGGGAGAAATAACAAAAAGACAAAATTTATTAAGAGCTACAAGGGACAGACGGGAAGATGTGGAGGGCCATTTTCGCCTATGTCCTGAAGGGATACGGCACATAAAAAAAAAGCTGTATGAGATGCTTATTTGAAAAAAAATGTATGGTCGCTTTGTAGAAGATTATTAGTGCTGGGTTTGGTCGATATATATATATATATGTTTACGCCGAACTCGTTTCTGTTTGACAAGGTAAGTAATAAACAATGACGTGACTTATGAGACAACTGTCTCCTGAAAACAAATATAAGCAAAATAAACAACGTTCCCAATATCATTACCCTGATCTTTTTTTTTTTTTTTTGATCAGATGACGTATTGGCAAAAAATATTAATCTTTGCTTACGATTTCTTTCATCTTTTTTTATTCGGATCGAACTGTCTACTAATAGCGATAAGCTAAAGGCCTGGATAGTTGTGAGGAAAAGCAACTAAAATTAAGATGAAAGAAACCTTCTTTTATGCAATATCTTGCTTCAGGACCCAGGCGACCAGGATCTTCACAGCTTCCTTTTGACTCTTTATAGTTTCCAGCCATTTTTACTCTATTCAAACAAACATGTAAAATAGGTTACTCACATTTTTCCATGTTGTTCTTCTCTTCAACATGTCCTGTGAGCATTAGATTCTCCAAGCCATCTTTCTTCATTATGTGTCCCAGAAATTTCAAATGAATTTTTCTAAGTATAATTTTTCTTGTAGTTGTGAACATCTCAGTAGGTTTGCTATAATTTAGTTTGCGATATGAACTGGATAAATGCTACATATAATTTAAATTGGGCCGCCGCAAATTCTAAAATGTCTGTCCGTATTATACACGAAAGACGTTTTCTTTTAGGGTTTCGTAATCCAAAGTTTACGTTCTGAATTTAAATCAAAGGACATATCCGTCGACCTACCCTTAGTTATAACAGGGGTTTACAGAAAAGAAAAACAAATATACGCGAAATAAACAACCGTTCCCAATATCATTACCTTGATCTTTTTTTTTATCACATGACGTATTCTTAAAAATTCTTAATCTTTGCTTACTATTTTTTTTCACTATAAGGGCTGACCAATATCCCTGAAAATGCAATGATTCAGAAGTCGGCCCTTATTGGACAATCAGCTTAATGAATTCCGTTACCAAGCTTACCATCCGAATTTTGATGAATAGAGAGTGCAACAGAATTAAACCGGAAATAGGGGTATATTTAGTTGTCCCCCCACGAGGGCGTCATGTGGCACAAGGCCTTTTTAACGTGGGCATTTCCGAGCCATTAGGCTCGGCCAAAAAATAGCCCATTTGAACCCGTATAAACGGGTTCAGGGCCGGTTTTACCTCCCCGATTTTTCTCCCCCAGTAGGTTTCTGCCATCCAAGGCTACAGAACCCGGTCTGTCCTGCTATTTACCCATAGCTTAAGAAGAAGAGGATTCATATCTTTCCCAAGAGTATTAGCACGTAAGTGAATATCAGTCAGTGATGTGCCATGCATGATACACGCTTAGGCGATCATGTATCTTTCGATACATGACTGACGAGGCAGATTTTTTTTTCCGCAGTAGGTTGCTATTTCTTTCTGCGGTAGACCAGTGGCCATCCAAGGCAATAGAACCCGGTCTGTCCTGCTATTTACCCATAAATATTTCACGTAAGTGAATGTAACGGATTCGACTGGAATTCGAACTCGGCTCTCCGATTCACAATCCGAACCGCTATCCATTACTCCACCGTGCCTCCTATATGCAAAAGCATTTGATAAATTACGTCTCAAAGAACTTTTGGAAGTGCTAGGTAGCTTGATTTATTTGGGAAGGATATTAGAAGCATGCTGGGAGAAAATCGATGCGGATAGAAAATGAGTGAAAAATTTAAATAAATACACAAAAATAGAAAGGGGCATAAGGCAAGGATGTGTCTTCTCACCGGACTTATTCAACCTTTACAGCGAGGCAATTCTGAGAGAATTGGAAATCCTACCAGGATTCATTATTGGCAGCCACAGTCTTGATAACATTATGCATGCAGACGGCACAGTGTTTAATAACAGACACAAAAAATACTACAGGAATTCCCACAGAAGGTAGTGAAGGAAAGCAAGAAGAAAGGACTAAACATCAATTGCAAGAAGACAGAAAGAATGGTTGTCAGCCAAAGGAACAGCCCAACATGTGAATTACAAAGTGGAGATACCAAAATCAAACAGGAAAAATAATTTAAACATTTAGGAAGTGTTTTAAAATAGAGCGGAAAAACTGAAATTCGAAGGCGCGTTAGGATAGCGAAAGATGACTTCCAAAAGCTAAGTAAAGTATTATGAAGCAGGAAAATTTCGTTAGAAACAAAGTAAAGAGTACTGAACTGTTGTGTCATATCGGGCAGTGAATGCGGAAGAATCTCATTCTAGATAGCAGAAATGTGGCTCTACAGAAGGATGCCGAGAACACTGTGAACTGAACATGGGAGCAACGACGAAGTTTTAGAGAAATCGGCCAGCCAATCTAAGTACTGACCAGGTTCGATGTTGTTAAACAGCGGTGATCGTAGGAGAACCAATATTTCAACGTCATATGTAAACCCCTTCCTTCTGTGATATATTGGTCAAGTACAAAAGAACATTTAATCTGTACCTAAAATAATGACTTTAATCCACGCTTTCTTTGTTAAAAAAAAAACAACAAAAATACAAAAAATAACAAAGAATAAAAATATTTCTGACGACGGAGATCGTCGAAAAGAATCAGGCTCTCCTGTTCTTTGATATTTTACTCAAGCTCAAAATAATTGTTGAATTTCTATAGGGATACGAACATTGTGACATAACTGGTATTTATTCAAAATAAAACAATATTAACAAAATTATAAACGTTTTAATCGCAATTATTAAATTCTGTACCACTTTTGAAATATTTAAATATTTGCGGAACACTGTTGATATAATCTGAAAGTTAAATGTTATTGTCAAATTTTGAGTTAAGACCTAAACTGATCACTTAAACAAAATTTTTTCTAAATCTGCGTTTGGACAATTGAGTTTTTTAAAACTTATATTAGTTACCAGATGATGATTTGTAAAGATACATCGTAGTTAAATGTCCGTTTTAATGTAATTATTAAAATTGTTTCAGCTGATCGATTTTCGATTTAAGGAGGCATGATGTTATTCCAAAAAATTACATTTATTCATAATTAAAATTTAATTTAAACAATAAAGACAGCAACAGATAAAAAAAATGACGATTATTGAATCTAAAACTAAATTTATGACTATCGAAACTCCTTGAATATTCTGTCTTCAAAGTGAACTCCTAAGTTCAAAAGCAGTAGTAAACTCCGAGAAAACAGACAGCCAACACCGGCATCTTCGAAATAGTGCATGCTGGGAATGGCTGTTTGCTCGAGGCAAGTGTTTTAGTTATGGTGTGAAATCCCACAGATGGACAGTAGCCAAAATGGATTGAAATCACCATCCCATGTTTTAATAGCCACTCTGTCCTTAACTTGACCTTTCCAAGACACAGGAAGACGGAATATAAGTGTTGTAAGGTGCTACAAAATCTGAAAGGGTATTGACCAATCCGGGCTGAGTGACCAGGACTCATAAAAAGAACCCTACTGTGAGAAACCAGACACTTGCTTCTCTCCCTTGGATACAAAAAGACACCCTTTATCGTGGTCTTTCTCAACCACTTTAACCAAATGTTACTTTCACTTGTAATATTATCCGTATAATAACTTGAAACACGAGCTGGATATTATTGTAAAGCAATTGTCTGCATTGCTGACTGGTGTAAACTGTCGGTACTAAAACCTTGATAAATTAGGAGGTTTCATTTTGTAGTAGTCTCTATACAATAAAAGATTAAAAGAAATTCAGGTATATTTTAAAGGTGATTGTTTAAACTGGTTGAACATTTTGGTCTGCTTGATAAATGGGATATTTCTGCCTTTTCCACTAGATCCAGATCCAGTAGTCGGTTTTAGAAATTTAAACTATCTCTGTCTGTCTGTCTGTCTGTCTGTCTGTCTCTCTCTCTCGCTCTCTCTCTCTCTCTCTATATATATATATATATATATATATATATTATAAATTAATTGATTTAAAATATGGTTATTTTCGCTACACAGTTCCAACCATGTTTCAAAAATAGAAGCTAAAAACCTCTAATTTTATTTT